GTTACCATCCAAGGAGTTTCCGCCGCAATTGCTGGAATGACCACATTAGCACTAGGCCAATTGAACTGTTCACTAAAATACTCTGCCCAGCGATCAAGTCGTTTTTTATTGGGGATGCTTTGTCCACTTTTATCGCAAATGATCTCACTGACCGCTATGCGACGACCTCCAGTGCTGCGTATCAGGTGAAATAGTCTTTGACTATTCCTTGATGCAGAAGCTATCTCCATTTCACTAGCTATTTCGGCTCACCAAATTTCACGATCTTTCTTAAGGCTATTTCTGAGTTGACGTCGCAGACGACACCAGTCCTTATGCTGATCCTGGCAGATTGGGATCTTTCGCTTTTGATCTATTAGGATTATTGACTCCTGAGAGATCCAATGCCTTCAGGGGATTTCGGGCTCAATCCCACAAGCAAAGTTTTCAACCGAGTGCATCGCAAATCTAATCTGATTCCACTGTTGTTCTACTCCACTAAGTCGCGGTTCTCCTAGCTCTTGTCCCAGCTTCTCCTCATAACGTGCGCAGACAGCTGGATCTCGCAGACGATTGAGCTAATTGAGGAAGCGATTTCTACCGATGACCAACGAGTCGGAGAGCAAAGCGTAGCAGAACTAGCGCATGATCCGACTCAACGCAGGTGGACTAGTAGGATCTGCAATTTTGTACTGAACCACGCCAATGGTAGCTTACAGCTACGTGGTCAATGTGCCCGTTGAACTAGAACACCATGTAGCCGTTCGAAGAGAGCTGTGTCGAAAATTAGTGCTAGATAAGAACACTCGGTGATCCGCGCAGAACTGAAATAGTCGATCACCTTTGTTTGCTGGGCGGGAAGGGCGAAGTGCCCTCCTAGACAGGCTTTGGATGCGCTCATTTTTCCTACCTGCGCGTTAAAATCACCTGCCAGCACTATAATATCCGAGGTGCGGCTCAACCGAATCAGTTCGGCGAGTTGATCGTAAAATTCGTCGTTTCGTGAAGCGGGACTGCAGTTGGTTGGTGCATACGCGGAAACGATGAACAAACACCTTTTGGTGTTGCTACCCTTCCGAACACTAACTGATCCCTGTAGCCTCATTGCGCACAAACGACTATTGACAGGTATCCAATCTATCATAGAAGCTTCAGCTTTATCGTTTAGTACGATATCTACACCACACTGACCCAGTGAGCGGGCTGTGTGGTCTCCTGATGTTCGAAGGAAATACTTCGACGACAGACCCGGTGCACTCAGGTGGCCTATAATACTAAGATCCTGACTTCGCGTCTCCGATACGCAACATACATCGATTTCTAGAGACTTCATTTCACGCGCAAGATACGCCTGTTGACACACCTGCATAAGAGTCCTCATGTTGAAAGCCCCCAGATTAAGAGCTTGACGAGGCTTCAGAATCTACACTCTATTTACAAGAAAACTAGTTACAGTACTGTTACTGTTACAGTACTATTTGACAAAGACCTTTGGCGAGTGACGACCAAGTTGTCTGAAGGAATATCACGAGTCGGAAGAAGAGTTAAAGGGATAGGGTTGGGCACGGAAGACAAAGAGTTAAACAAAGGTTGGGATATCTGAACAATAGCCTACTTATCAATACCCACCTCTTTCGATGCAATAGGTGGCGCAGTTCTGATTATCCTGCGCGGCGACCGATGCAGTATGAAATTATGCTTGTTTATGTGTTCATTGGAGCTTTATGGACGAGTACTGCCAGGGTGTCCAGCCACGAAGCAGGAGAACGATTAGGGTTCTCAACTAAAGCCTTCAGTTTTGACAAAAGCCTAACCGCAAGTCAGCGGTTAAGGCGGATTGGAGGCCCATTAGCTTGGATCAGTTATTCCTCCAACACGTTTTATCGATTGAGACGCCGACTCAAGTCGAACCCCCAACCTGGGGGACCAGGAGACTGGACTTCGTCTGACCTCTACCAATTGACCTTCCAGGCATGCTTAGATCTTTGACTCGGTAAAAACCATCCTGTGTAGCTCGTTGGATCAAAGAGGTGCACAAGCTATCACACCACGTCAAGGTGCAGTCTCGTCGTGACAGGTTCCACAACACATGATCCACGGTAGGAAGCAGTGCACCCTCAATCGAATATACCCTTCTAGCACGCTAGAAGTAAACTGAAATTTTAGCCATTGGAAACTTGCAATAGAGATGGTCAAGCGTCGTGTTCGGCCGTGCGACTCTTTCTCCGGATTCATCCACATCATGGTAGGCAG